GCTGTTTCCAGTGGCTTTTCCAAATGAATGGTCTGTCTTGGCTCATGCTTCAGATTTCCCTAAATTCTCTCAAACAAGAAGCATCTGGCCTCAATGAGCCCCATACCTGTCACTAAGTGGCCCCAGTCCCAGCACTAGCAGCAGCCAACCTTGGTTCACAGCTTGGCCTCACCTGGGCACCTCCAAGCCCAGCACAAGTAGCAGCCATCTGCAGACTGCTTTGTAGCTTATGCTGGGTGGTCCCAGACAGAACACAGGCAGTGGCTGACCTTGGCCTGAAACTCCTGCGAGGATTCAGAGCCTGCCTACCCACTGAACAGCTACAGACTACATTGGAGCACCACCTCCACAAGCAACACACTCAAGAGGTAGCCTCAGAGGGCACAGGGCCCTGCTGAAGTAAGTCTTGCTCTATGGAGTGGGCCCTTGCACAGTAGATCCTACACGGTGGTTGGAGGTTGGTAGTCAGTTGTCACAGCCTATCCTTGTAGCTGATCGGCCTTGGGGTAAATCCCTCCCACTGGTCTGCCAACAGCAATCAAGGCTCAACTACATGAGGACGACATACTCAGCCCATGTGAAGGGCGCATGTTGAGTACCCAGCTTGGGTGATAGGAGAGGCTGGGCCACTGGACCCTACAGGACTCCTAACTACATTAGGCCACACTACCAAGACACAGAGTCAAAGCAGCTCTACCTAATAAACAGAAACAAACACAGGGAGGCTGCCAAAATGAGGAGACAAAGAAAATGGCCCAAATGAAAGGAGAGATCAAAACCCTAGAGAAAGAACTAAATGAAATAGAGGTAAGCAATCTATCAGATGCACGGTTCAAAACATTGGTTATGAGGATGCTCAAGGAACTTAGTGAGGACTTCAACAGCATAAAAAAGACCCAGTCAGAAACGAAGGATCCAGTAATTGAAATAAAGAACGACTTATAGGGAAACATCAGTAGAGTGGGTGAAGCCAAGAATCAAATCAATGATTTGGAGCATAAGGCAGCAAAACACAACTAATCAGAAGAAGAAGAAAAAAGAACCCTCAGGGACAACTTGAAGAGATCCAACATTCACATCATAGGGGTGTCAAAGGGAGAAGAGAAAGAGTCAGAAATTGGAAATCTATTTTTAAAAAAATGAAAGAAAACTTCCCTAAATTGTTGAAGGAAATAGACATATTAGTCCAGGAAGCACAAACAGTCCCAAACAAGTTAGACCCAAAGAGGCCCACACTAAGACACATCATAATTAAAATGCTAAAGGTTAAAGATAAAGAAAGAATCTTAAAAGCAGCAAGAGAAAAGCAGTTAGTTATCTACAGGGGAGTTCCCATAAGACTGTCAGCTGATTTCTCAAAAGAAACTTTGCAGGCTGGAAGGGACTGGCAAGAAATATTCAAAGTCATGTTAAGGAGGAACCTGTGGCCAAGAGTGCCCTACCCAGCAAAGCTATCATTTAGAATTGAAGGACAGATAAAGAGCTTCCCAGACAAGAAAAGCTAAAGGAGTCCATCACCACCAAACCAGTATTATGTAAAATGTTAAAGGGTCTTCTTTAAAAAAAAGATAAAATCTATCAATAATAAAATGGCAATAAATACATATCTGTCAACAATTGAATCTAAAAAAAAAACTAAGCAAACAAGAACAGAGACAGAATCATGGATATGGAGAGTGTTTTGATGGTTGCCAGATGGGAGGGTGGTGTGGGGGAATGGGTGAAGATGTGAAGGGATTAAGAAGTACAAATATGTAGTTACAGAATAGCCATGGGGATGTAAAAGTACTGTATAGGAAATGGAGTAGCTGAAGAACTTATACACATGACCCATGGACGTGAACAGTGGTGTGGGTATTGCCTGGGGCAGTGGGGGTTCTGGGTGGAGGGGTGCAAAGGGGGAAAATTGGGACAACTGTAATAGTATAAACAATAAAATATAACTTTAAAAAAGATTTTATATATTTTTAGAGAGGGGGAGAGAGGAAGAGAGGGAGAGAAACATCAATGTGTGGTTGCTTCTCATGCACTCCCTACTGGGGGCCTGGCCCACAACTCAGGCATATTCCCTGACTGGGAATCGAACAGGCAACACTTTGTTTGGCAGGACAGTGCTCAATCCACTGAGTCATACCAGGTAGGCAATACAATACAATTTAAATTAAAAAAGAAAAAATCATAGCACGCATGGACAACAACTAAGGGGGGTGGAAATGAAAGGGAGGTGGGGAGCACTGGGTGGGGGCTGGGATGGGAGTAAAAAACAGAAAACTGTATTTGAACAACAATTAAATAAATTAATTTAAAAAAATCTCCCAGTTGGGCTGGTGACAAATGCAAGCTGCATAACAAGAATTAGTGTGATCTGATTTATATAAAGAACAACCACAACGCACCACTCTATATCTGTACATATACATGCATATGGTTATAACTGCATGCAGTAGTCTCTGGAAAGATCACACCAAAAACATTTAAACAAATACCAGACACTGCCTCCCTCTCCATAGTCCAAAATGGTATATAAGCCTCAACTGCCTGATATCTCCTTGGGTCTCATATTCTTATGGCACCCCCACATGCACATCCATAATAAATGTTAAACATTTTCTGCTGTTAATCTGTCTCATGTTAATTTGATTTTTAAAAGGTTTTATTTATTTCTAGAGAAGGGAAGGGAGGGAGAAAGAGAAGGACAGAAACATCAATGTGTGGTTGCCTCTTATGCGCCCCCTACTGGGGACCTGACCTGCAACCCAGGCATGTGCCCATACTGGGAATTGAACCTGCGATCCTGTGGTTCCCAGGCCGGTGCTCAAGCCACTGAGCCACACCAGTCAGGGCTAATTTGATTATTAGTCCAGCTAGAAGAACTTAGAAGGTGGGAAGAAAGATTATTTTTTATCCCCACACTCTGACTCAATTTCTTACTTAGCCTAGATTCTACCTTTGAGAGTCCCCTTCTCATCCACATCCACATATCATATAACTAAGAAAGCAAAGATTATAAACCAACACTATCAGAGAATAATTGATAACTTGGGTTAAGAGTCTGTGATCCTATATGAAGATGACAAAATGGAGAGTGGTTGTAGTCATCACTTGGAAATGAAAAACAAAAAAGTATGCTAAGTACCAAAAGGCTGAAAAGTACCAACATGGACAAGGAAACTAAAATGCCATCTATTTTAATTTAAAGACTTTATTTATTTATTTTTAGAGAGGAGAGGGAGGTAGAAAGGAGGCATCAGTGTATGGTTGCCTCTCAAGTGCCCCCAACTGGGGACCTGGCCTGCAACCCAGGCATGTGCCCTGACTAGGAATTGAATAAGAGACCCTTTGGTTTGAAGGCTGGGCACTCAATCCACTGAGCCACACCAGCCAGGACTAAATCTACATATTTATTTACTCAATGAAGAGACAGCCAGCCCTTCCTAACCACATGGCTCATAAAGCTGATGCCATTAAAAAGCTACCCAGCCCTGGCTGGTGGAGCTCAGTGGATTGAGCACGAGCCTGTGAAGCAAAGGGTCACAGGTTCTATTCCCAGTCGGGCATATGCCTGGGTTGCAGGCCGGGTCCCCGGTGGGGGAACACATGACAGGCAACCGCACACTGAGGTTTCTCTCCCACTCTTTCTCCTTCCCATTCCCTCTCTCTAAAGTAAATTAACAAAATATTAAATAAAAAAGAAGCTACCCAGACCACCCTGGGTTGGGGGGGGCAGGGAATTGAAACAGTAAAAATCTATATTCCCTTCAACTCCACTAATATTACTCACTTAAGGGTCTCTTTTTCTCTGCCCAGGGAAGACTCACAGAAGTTTGCACAAGTACTTGGCAGTATGGGTTCATGGGACGTGCACTGGTTGCTGCACAGAATTCTGCAACAAGCAGGCTTTGCTTGTTTGATAGAACAGACATATCAGGATTGGAAGATGATCCACTGCATCAGGCATTTCATAGTCAAAAGACTATCTGCTGCCCTTAACAACCATGGAAGAACTAAGGGCTTTAGGGACCCACTGAGAAGGGCTGCAGATGGCCATACTTGAATCCTTTCTGCCAAAAATGAGTTGGGAGAAATTGAAGCAGTGTACCCAGAATACCAGTGAGTTCCCTGTTAATTTCCATCAGCAGTTTGTTGACATCTCAAAATTTACCAGCATGGATGGAGGGGCAGATCAAAATCACTCTCTGGTATCCATATTGTGTCAGCCTAGGATAGACTATTACTCAAATCTTAGCAGCAGCTGCTCAGGTTTGGGGCAATCTAGAAAAAGATGAAGAAGGAAAGAAGCAATTAAAAACTATTGTGTTGGCTGCTCAGTTATGACTATTTTCTAAGGGAATAGTACCTACTCTGGACGAGGTATAAAGGGAGCCAAGGTAGATGGGAAGGCTGTAGGTCATTATTCAAGAAACCAATGCATTATTCAAGAAGAGAGCTGGTAAAAAGACCAGGAGACACAGATACTATAGGAGCAAGGGATTCAGGAAGGCCCAGAACAAAACCCTCAGTTAGGGAATAATAGGCAAATGGCCTCAAAATCAGCAGATGGAGGAAGTCTTGGAGGTGCAAACTGGTGAACCACAAGTTTCAATAACTTTCCCTCAGGCTAACCTATACTTGCCTTTTCTAGTAAATACTGGTGCTCCTTATTCTGCAATTTCCTCAGAATTTTGTCCTTTTCCATCTAGTGTTAGGTCAATGCAGGTTGTTGACACTTTGTGTCAGCTTTCTACTTGTTCTTTTCCATTTTTCCTATAAATATAGGTCCTCTAGTGAAGAACATGCTTTCTTACTTTCTCCTGTAAACATACTGGCTAGAAATCTGCTTGCAAATTTGCTGTGCAAAATAAAGGCTACTGTATTCTGTACTCTGGGTGGAGTGCTTGTGGCACTCCTTAGAGAAAAGGCACCTGATTTGGTTACTATGTGCCTTCAGAAAGAAAAGGACTATGAGAGAGAGTGGCAGTCTCCAATTGTGCTGGACAAGTGCCCCAAAGTGAAACAAATCAATGCATCACTTGGGGCCCTACAAAATAATGATACTGGTTTAATTCAAGATATTGAAAGTTTTCAATTAGGAATAATCGTGCCTCAAATAGACTTCATTGGCTACAATACTGCCACTGCACAAAGCTAATTCAACATGTTGAATTGATAAAAAATAACTTTCCAAAAGCATAAGCTATGGCCACATGTAAAACAATATCCTTTGTTGAGAGGTAACAAAATATATTATAAAAGAATTAGACTGTCCCTAACCTGGGTAGAGTTGTACCAGGTTTGGTGGTGCTTGTCCCTTATCAGCCAGAGATAAAGTAACTCCTTGTTTACCCCACTTGGCTTTTGGTCTGTGCCTGTACCTGGTTCATGCCCTGGAAACATGCTCATAACATCTGTATTTCTAGCCTACTTTATGCATTATTAAATGAATTAATAACCACATCTGTTCCCACTGGGGTACTATCTTTGTGGTGGAGTATAAGTCTTTGAAGCACTTTATGCCTGGCATGTAGCTCTATTGGGTACTTATTGTTCTCATTTTGCAATGCCTTGAATGTTCCATGATCTCAAAGTGTATGCCCTCTACCATATAAAGATTTTCTCCTGATTTGTACAGGTTATGATGTGATCACTCAAGCCCAATCTGGGACAGAAAAAATGGCCACTTTTGCCATATCAATTCTACAACGGGTTGAATTGGATCTAAAGGCCACCCAGGCACTGGTCCTGGCATCCACAAAAGAATTGGCACAGCAGGTGAGAGTGTAGCTTATTTCTCCTCCCCTGAAAGACTGCTTTAGAAATAATGAGCACAACACAAAAATCACAGAATGCTCCCCAACCACCATGACCTCGGGAGAACTGAGGTATCTACCCAAGCACAATAAACATTACTTCCTCCACCCATTTTCTAAGTCAAATGGGAAGGTTGCTGGGTGGCACCAGTCTAGCTGAGCAAGTTTGGTGGCTGTTTTATGGACAAACTCCCTGGCAATCAATGGGCAAGGAGATACTTGACTGGTAGTGTTGCTCTTATATCAGCCAGGGGCAAAGCAGTCATCAGTCCTTAGTTCACCCTAGCTTTTAAAAAAAATTGTATATTGATTATGCTATTACAGTTGTGGCATCTTTCCCCTTTATTCCCCTCCACCCTGTAACCCCTCTCCCACCAGCATCCCCCCACCTTAGTTCATGTCCATGGGTTGTACATATAAGTTCTTTGGCTCCTCCATTTCCCATACTATTCTTAATCTCCCCCTATTTTGCACCTAGCATTTATACTTCTTATTCCCTGTTCCTTTCCCCCCGATTCTCCCCCATCCCCGTCTGCTGAAAACCCTCCACATGATGTCCATTTCTGATTCTGTTCCTGTTCTAGTTGTTTGCTTAGTTTGTTTTTGGGGGGGGCTTTTTAGGTTTAGTTGTTGATAGTTATGAGTTTGTTGTCACTTCACTGTTCATAGTTTTGATCTTCTTTTTCTTAGGTAAGTCCCTTTAACATTTCATATGATAAGGGCTTAGTGATGAAGAACTCCTTTAACTTGACCTTATTTGAGAAGCACTTTATCTGCCCTTCCATTCTAAATGATAGCTTTGCTGAATAGAGTAATTTTGGATGTAGGTCCTTGCCTTTCATGACTTGGAATACTTCTTTCCAGCCCCTTCTTGCCTGTAAGGTTTCTTTTGAGAAATCAGCTGACAGACTGATGGGAATTCCTTTGTAGGTAACTGTCTCCTTTTCTCTTGCTACTTTTAAGATTTTTCTCCTTATCTTTTATCTTGGGTAATGTAATTATCATGTACCTTGGTGTGTTCCTCCTTGTGTCCAACTTCTTTGGGACTCTCTGAGCTTCCTGGACTTCCTGGAAGGCTATTTCCTTTGCCCGATTAGGGAAGTTCTCCTTCATTATTTTTCAAATAGCTTTTCAATTTCCTGCTCTTCCTCTTCTGGCACTCCGATTATTTGGATGCTGGCACATTCAAAGTTGCTCCAGAGGTTCCTAAGCCTCTCCTCATTTTTTTTGAATTCTTGTTTCTTCATTATGTTCTGGTTGAATGTTTATTTCTTCCTTCTGATCCAAATCCTTGATTTGAGCCCCAGTTTCCTTCCCTTCACTGTTGGTTCCCTGTACATTTTTCTTTATTTCACTTTGCATAACCTTCACTTTTTCCTCTATTTTACGACCATACTCAACCATTTCTGTAAGGATCCTGATTACCAGTGTTTTGAACTCTGCATCAGACAGGTTGAGTATCTCTTTATCACCTAGTCCTATTTTTGGAGTTTTTAACTCTTCTTTCATTTGAGCCATATTTCTTCGTCTTGGTGCACCTGTAGGTTGTAAGGGGCAGAGCCTTAGGTATTCTCCAGGGTGGGGCAAACCACTTGGCTACATTATGGCACTGTATATGGGGGAGGGGTCAGAGAGGGAACAATGCTGCCTGCTTGGCTCTTGCTCAGCTTTCAGTCACTTCCCCTGCTACCCACAAGCAAATTGGGCCCTAGTGGTGCTTATTCCTGGGTGTGTGGGCTTGTGTATATACTAGGATCCTGTGGGTCTCCCCAAAGAACTCTCCTGTGAGGCTATGAATTTTTTCGCCACCACAATTCCCACAAGTTTTTATAGCCAGAGGTTTTGAGGCTTTATTTCCCCATGCTGGAACCCTGGGTTGTGTGGTCTGTCTCACTCCCTAGTTGTTCCTCCCAGTTTATCCACATGGAGATGTGTGACTGACTGGTCTGCCAGCTACCACCCTGCCACCAGTCCTCTCTGCTCCGGCTGCCTGTCTCCATTCCTCCTACCACTCTGAATGAATGTTTCTTCTTTAACTCTTTGGTTGTCTGGTTTCCATACAGTTCAATATTTTGGCAGTTCTGGTTATTCTTTGTTTTAAAATTTGTTGTTGTCCTTCTTTTGGTTGTGTGAGAAGGCAAAGTGTATCTACCTATGCCTCCATCTTGGCCAGAAGTTCAGTTCACCCTAGCTTGATGCCTGTGTTGGTGGCCAGAGCTATTTCATGCCTAGAGCACATTAAAAAAAATAGAAAAAACAGAGATAATGTAAAAAGGAATTCACCTTGTAATACTCCCATACTTCTAGTAAATAAGAAAGTGAATTTGATGATGATAGACAACCATGGTATCAATTCGTATAGGGTCTTAGAGAAGTAAATAAATGTGTTGTTCCATTAACTCCTTTAGTTCTTTTTTTTAATTAATTTTATAACTCCTTTAGTTCTTAACCCTAAAATTATTCTCATTTTGGTACCACAGTCTGCTAAGTTTTTCTCTGTAGTGAGTCCATGTTCTGCTTCTCTTTTCCTGTTCCACTAGCTAATGAGTTTAAATTCTTTTTTTAAGATTTTATTTATTTATTTTTAGAGAAAAGGAGGAAGAAACAGAAGAGAAACATCAATGTGTGGTTGCCTCACGTGCACCCTCTACTGGGGACCTGACCTGGCCTGCACCCCAGGCACGTGTTCTCACCAGAAATTGAATCAGGGACCCTTTGGTTCACAGGCCTGCACTCAAAGACAAAATTCTTGTTTGACTTTATTTACTAAGAACTCCAGTATTCATGGCAAAGGATTCCCTAAGGGTTTCAGGACTCTCCTATTATTTCCTCTAGTTATTTACAGGAAAACTTATGGAAGTTTGTGCCACTAGAACGATCTATAATTATTCCACATATAGGGGATTTTCAGGTAGCTTCTGAAACTAAAGAGCAATGCAAAGTTGGTACTTTGGTTTTCTTACAATTCTTTGCTTCACCAGGGCATGAGCACTCTATGGACAATTTTTAATATTGCCTAAGTGAAGTAAAATATTTAGGTGTCAAATGAAGGCTGCAATTTAGCAGATGAGAAAGCCTACTATGATAAAACCAACTTAGACAATCTGAGGCCCTAGGAGGATACTGCAGGCACTGGGGCCCAGCTTCTGCAGAGAAGGCAAAGCTTCTGGTGGAGCACTTGCTTGATAATTCTCCAAAGCCTCTGTGTGGTCCCTAGAATCTGAGAGGCTTGTGAACAACTGAAACTGGCTATACTCTCTCCCCTAGGTTTGGGGATTCCAAATTTTGAAAAACCTTGTTTTGACATGAAAATAAATGCATTGGAGTTTTAATTCAAAAGGTGGAGTTAGACTGTAGGCCAACAGCACATTATTCAATTCTTCTGGATGCTCTGGCACTGGGAGTCCCTGGGTACTTCTGAGTGGTGGTGGCAGCACCACTTAGAAGGCTTTACACTTAGTGAAAAGGCTCAAGCCCTTACCTTCAGTCACTTATTTGCATGTGTTACATGCTGTGGCAGCTATCTTTCTACTATATAAGACAGTATTTATCAGTATGCCATCTGACTAACCATGAAAAAACATCCAATCCTAGTTTTGTGCTTGATAGATGCAAGCTCCTAAACCCTGCTACTCTTTTACTAGATCCTGACCAAATAGATGATCATAAGTATACAATAGTAATAGAAGACACTAAGTAGCAACCTGAGTTTTCTGATATTCCTGTTTAAAAAGTATATTTGATAATGTTAATTGATGAGTCAATGTACCTAGGATGAAAAGAGCCACCTTGGGGCTGCACATGCTGTGGTAATTGCTCAGGTGGAAGCATATATTGTGCCTGTTACTAGAACAACACTAGCAGCCAAGTTAATAGCAGCTGTAGGGCTGCAATTCTTGGTTTGGGACTTAAACTGAATCTATATTCTGGTAGTAAATATATATTTGGTGTATGTCATGTAATGGGGTCAGTTTGAAAAAAAAAAAAGAATTGTTCCCTCATGCTCCATTGGTAGGAATGCAGATTGGTGCAGCCACTGTGGAAAGCAGTATGAAGTTACCTCAAAAAATTAAAAATGGAACTGCCCCATGACCCACTGATTTCAAGTCAGATATTCAAAGAAACCTGAAACATTAATTCAAAAGAATATATGCAGCCTTCCAGCCAAGATGAAGGTTATGCTAAGTGAAATAAAGGAAAATGTACAGGGAACCAATAGTGATGGGAGGGAAACTGGGACTCAAATCAATGGTGTGCACCAAAAGGAAGAAAGAAACATCCAACTAGAAAAGGAAGAAAGAATTTTAAAAAACGAGGAGAGGCTTAAAAACCTCCAGGAC